CCCCCCCCCCCCCCCCCCCCCACCCAGGGCATCCCAGGGTTGGGGGGCCCTGTGGAACAGAGCTCCTCTCCTTTATACTTAAGTCTGATAATCCAGGAACACCTGGGTATGAGTCAGACAACCCAGGAACATCTGGATGCACATGCACAATTACATCAGACAATAACCAAGGAGCACCCCAGTGCACGTGCATATTTACATCAAATGCTTGGCAAGATTCGAACCTCCATGGGATCCTGACCATTCATTTCCCTTTCCCAACAGTAATGAACTACTTAGTGGGGGCAGACAGAAATACTGGATGATGGGGGTGAGATCAGGCACACCCGTGCCATGCACGTGTTTCTAGAGCACCTGGGATTGGAGCCCCTGGTACAGCTGAGGAAGGAACCTAAGTAGGAATTTAACCAATCTCTGTCTTGGGCTGAGTCTCATGACTATGGGTAGCTCTCTTCTATAAGAATGTTGTATGGTTAGGAATGAAATAACTGATTAGTGTTTAAATTGCTGACTAAGGAGTTATGCTGACAATTTTAAGACAGCCGATGCATGAAGATTTTTACCTGAAACTGCCTGTGTACTGTGTCTCCTCTGATGTAATAAGCCATCAGTGGCTATGACTTCTGCTTTTATCCCGCCAGTGGGAATGACCCAGCTCAGCTCTGAGACGGTCCCCCTTCTGTTACCTTCCCTATTTGTAATAAACTTAGGAGCACTACTTTGACTGCCAGATGGTGTTTCCCAGGCCTATCCTCACATCTGGCTCCCAATAAACTTCACAAAATTATTTCTGCCTCGACAGCTTTAATTTCCGTTGACACAGCCTGTGAGGCTCCTGGCCCACAGAAGGACCAGCAGCGGGTCTGCACGTGGGTAGAGGCAGCCCATCTCCGGCCAGACTCTAGGCATGCACTGCGAGCGCCGTGAGGCTGCAACCCTCTCCTGCAGGGCCTGAGTCCATGGTCTGCTCCGCTGGCTGGAGGCTGCCGCAGGCTGGGAGCCACAGCCATGGATGCAGAGGTGCAGCTTGTACTGGTCCATCAGCAACTTACATGCTTTCACCTCTCAGCCAACAACAGGCAGTCAGGCCTGTCCTAATCAGCATTTTGCACACAGGGAATGAAAACAGGATGAGTGCTATATGCCAAGTTTAATTTAAACAAATGCATAGTGTGGAGCTAGCAAAGATCAGTCATTTGTATCAGCTGTAAAAACACAGAGAATGCACAGAGCAAAGCACATTCACATTCATTCCGTCTGCACACGTCTTTGGACAAGCTCCCTCCTGCCAGCGTCTCACTCTGGATGGCCACCCCAAGCTTCCTCGGACGTCCTCGTTACTCTAACGCAGGCACTGAGCATCCCTGCATTTTTGGTTCTTCAGGTGTTGAGTGTTTAGCCTTATGTCTGAAATCCTTACATTGGGGATTTGCTTTTGTTTATGTTTATGCTAAAAAATATTCTCAAACCTCAAACCTGGAGGCATGAACAGGTAGCATGTTTGAAGGTTCCAGAAACCCCAGCAGTAATTTTTTATGTTTGTGGTATTTGTTGAAAATAACTCAGTCTCTATCAGCTATTACAGTGTCTGGGTTTTCTTTGTTCAAACAACCCGGATGACTCCAGAGGAACGAAGCCAGGCTTGCGAGATCCCGACACCGTCTCCGTCGTCTTTCCCACTCTGTTACAAATGTTTCCCTACCTTGACAAAGTGACCTAGAAGTAACATTTTTTCCCCATTATAATTCCAAATGTCAGGCTAATAATCCAGTACAATACAGCCAAGAACCCATATTTCCCAGGAACAGCTTCATTATGACTGGTTTGCTGTAACTAAGGAGGGAAGGAAGTATTTTGTGTCCCTTGTCAGTGGCGACTGTTCACGTGTGAACGGTAAGGCCGTGTGCCTTTTTCTTACAGTGGTTTGTGGAAAAGCAGGAATAGGAGCCCTCTGATTTCATCATATTTTCTTTTCTGATGTTGAGCATAATCTTAAATTACATGGGAAATTTTATTTTCAACATGTTTTCCAAAACCAAGTCCCTTTCGAAGGGTTATTAACCCACAATTAAAAGCCCTAAATTAAATAACTCCATGATATCATTGTTGTATGCTTTTTTAAAATTGTCTATGTCTTTCCCACACAAATTGACGTTTTGTCCTTGACGGAGTTGGGATGTGTTGTCCCCTCCGAAACTCGTGGAAATTTGATCTCCAATGTGGCAGTGCTGGAAACTGATTGAGTCATGGGGGTGGATCCCTCATGAATGGATTAATGCTCTCCCTGGGGGAGGGGGGGATTGATGAGTGAGTTCTCGCTCTATTAGTTCCCATGAGAGCTGGTTGCTTAAAAAGACCCTGGCACCTTCTCTCTCTCTCTCTCTCTCTTGCTTCCTGTCACCATGTGATCTGCTTGTACCCGCTGGCTGCTGCCACTTTCCACCATGAGTAGAAGCAGCCCGAGGCCCGTGCCAGATGCAGCTGTCCCGGATTCGTAAGCCAAATAAACCTCTGTTCTTTATAAATTACCCAGTCTCAGGTAGCTCTGTTATAGCAACACAAACAGACTAAAACAGTCCTCTCTAAGCAAAACACATCAGGATATACAAACTGAGCCTTGTCGAATGACTAGTATGCAGCTGTTTTCAAAGGAAGTTCCTGGAAAACATTCATGTTTATCTTCTTTAAAAATTACTGCACCGGACGTTAACTCAGAGAATGACTACTGGCCGTCATTTCCTATAACTAAAT